AGCCAGCCCTAACTATAAACCTGAACCGGCCCTAACTATAAACCTGAAGCGGCTCTAACTATAAACCTAAGCCGGCCCTAACTATAAACCTGAGCCGGCCCTAACTATAAACCTGAGTCAGCCCCAACTATAAACCTGAGCCGGCCCTAAGTATAAACCTGAGCCGGCCCTAACTATAAACTGAGCCGGCCCTAACTATAAACCTGAACCGGCCCTAACTATGAACCTGAACCAGCCCTAACTATAAACCTGAGCCGGCCCTAAGTATGAACCTGAACCGGCCCTAACTATAAACCTGAAGCGGCTCTAACTATAAACCTGAACCAGCCCTAACTATAAACCTAAGCCGGCCCTAACTATAAACCTGAGCCGGCCCTAACTATAAACTGAGCCGGCCCTAACTATAAACCTGAGCCGGCCTTAACTATGAACCTGAGCCGGCCCTAACTATGAACCTGAACCGGCCCTAACTATGAACCTGAACCAGCCCTAACTATAAACCTGAGCCGGCCCTAAGTATAAACCTGAGCCGGCCCTAAGTATGAACCTGAGCCGGCCCTAACTATGAACCTGCACTAGCCCTAACTATAAACCTGAGCCGGCCCTAACTATAAACCTGAGCCGGCCCCAACTATAAACCTGAGCCGGCCCCAACTATAAACTTGAACCAGCTCTAACTATAAACCTGAGCCAGCCCTAACTATAAACCTGAGCCGGCCCTAAGTATAAACCTGAGCCGGCCCTAACTATAAACCTAAGCCAGCCCGAACTATAAACCTGAGCCGGCCCTAACTATAAACCTGAGCCGGCCCTAACTATAAGCACTATCAAAAAGTAAAGTCTTCAGCCTACTCTTAAATGTAGTGAGTGTGTCTGCCCCTCGGACTGAAACTGGAAGCTTGTCCCACAAAAGAGGAGATAGCTGAAGGCTCTGGCTCCCATCTTACTTTTTAAGGAACCACAAGTAACCCTGAATTAATGGAGCGCAGCTCTCTAGTTGGATAATATGGTACTATAAGCAACTTAAGATATGATGGTGCCTGACCAATTAGGGCTTTTAGGTGAAGAGAAGGATTTTGGATTCTATTCTAGATTTTACAGGGAGCCAGTGCAGAGAAGCTAATACAGGAATAATATCATCTCTTTTCTAAATTTGTGTTGGTACATGTGCTGCAGCATTCTGAATCAGCTGGAGAGATTTAAGAGACGTATTAGAGCAGCCTGATAAGGAATTGCAGTGATCTAGTCTAGAGGTAACAAATACATGAACTAATTTTTCTGCATCACTTTGAGACAGGAAGTGCCTGATTTTTGATATTTGCTCCCCTTGAATTATAAGTCACTCTTTATAAAGGGTTGGTAAGTTGTAACTATTGGCTTTATTGATGGTTTACTGATGCTTATGGTGTTTTATATGTATACATGTTGGTAATCCATTAATAAATTATTGTAGGTTTACAGTTAAGCCATTTTAATAAGTCATCAGTGCGCTCATAGTGTTGTCAACAGGTTTTTCCAGCTCAAGAATCGACCTCAGCTAAACCTGGCAACCCAACACACATTAATAAATGATTTAATAGCCATAAATACCAAAGCCATTGGTTAATAGCACTTAAAAAAACCTTTAAAAGGGGTATCTTATAACGGGTGTATAAAGAGGAAGTGGTACCAAGAGATCAATTTAACCTAATTGATGCATTCAATTTGCAGGACATTTAATTTCCCATGTGAAGCACATTATTCAAATTCCAAAACCCAATTTGTCTTTTCATTTGACGTAGGTGGCTAATTGTATGATAAATTGAAAATGCATATCTTTTTTTTATTCCACTTCATCCATACACATTATTGTGCCAGGCCCGTTGATATCTTGCAAATGTGTCGCACGTGCATGAACGCACCACCCTTCGCCTTGTGGGATGACGTGTCAACAAAGTGCCGGAAGCTTCCAGTCTGTTCAAAATGGCTTACCAGACACTACAACAGGAGTACCTACAGATTCCTGTTGTTACCAGGGCATATACAACCGCCTGTGTCCTCACAACTGCTGCAGTGGTAAGATACATTCACATGTTCACCGTGTTGGCTTGGGCATAGCTTGTTGTTGCTTAAAATAGCTAACGTAAAGTCGTTACTTTGCTGCTAGCTCGACGGGTTAGCTAACGTTATAGCACCTGTGAGAAGGAGACGTGTCGGAATCTGGTTGTCCGGGATGTTAGCGCTCTTTTTCAAGTTAAGAAAAAAACAGAAGCGTAGCTAACTTTGCCCGGTGCGTTTGCTAAATTTTAACAAGGGATCCAAAATTGTAAGGGCCCGTTAAGTTGCGTTTCTATCGGGTGACAGTTTACGGAAGGCTCGTCAGCTGTTTAGTCTTTTGCAGATGCTGCTATACAATATAGTTAGCTATCAGTCTATTACAATGCAACATATGTTAAAACTGATCATATATTTGCGTAAAATCTGAATCTGCAGACTAACTAGTCATTCAAGCTGTCAAATAGATAGAATGGAGGTACGTAATCTATTAAGACAAAGAGTGTGTGTGTGTGTGTGTGTGTGTGTGTGTGTGTGTGTGTGTGTGTGAGTGAGAGTGAGAGAGAGAGAGGTTAGATGTGGATCATAAATAGAACGTTCTCATTACCATAGAACCACACTGGGACTAGTGTGGGAACGTAAAGGCGGTTTTGGTACCGGTGGTGATGTTGTAGTCATAGTGTTGACTTTTTGAAGGGTTGATCATGACTAACACTAAAATGAATTCTAACGTCTTAAATGTACGTAACCATCATTAGATAGAATGGAGTACATCAGGGGACAGTGTGTGTTATTAGTGGACATAGGCTATGTGGAGTCACTACCTTAATTGTTGAAGACATCAGTCAGTTCCTGGACTAACTTAGAACATTCTGATGGTGGTATATGATGCCAATGCTCAATCATACCTCATAATTTGTTGTGGCAGTTTTTTGGTTGATTTCATTTGTTACACAGATTTAGTGCTACATTTTTAACAATTTTTTTACCACTCGAAATTTGATAAAGAATGATCAAACATCCCTCCAAAATACCATATAATGGCACCAAGACCTTGAGGAACACCATAAAAAAGACTCGCTCTGATTTGGTATCAAAGGTTTGACATTTGGAGAAGTTTTGGTGATTGAATTGCGAGCACTTCTGTTCTGGAAACTGCTGAGAAGCCCTCTTCCCCCCTTATCGTCCATATAGCTGGAAACAGCAGACGTCCTCTTTGGCCGCAGGTCTCTGCTGTGATGAGGCTGTGATTATCCTAAAGATCACAACAGGTCATTTTATACAGTGATGTCAAGTTTAAAATAGTGTTCTCACTACAGTGAAATGGCTACTATGGGGACTAACATCATCACACATTCAGTGATCCAGTCATCTATTTAATTCCAAGACGGTTGAGAAAAATTAAAATACACCATTTTAAGAAAATTGTAAAACATCTACTCATGAAGTGGGCATGTCTGTAAAGGGCAGACTTGTGGGAACTCATAGAACCATTTTCATTCAAATGTCTTGAGATAAGAGGTCAAGGAACCATGCCAGTGTTTCTTTTGCCAAAATGTAGCCAAACTTTGGAGCGGTATTTCGGATCCTTCCCGACAAGCTGGTTAAATGGGTTCCTTAGATTAGCACCTTCTGTTGTACCCTTCCATAGGCAGATAGTATAAATGTGATATCTTATATGTTAACACAAACACACCATTCATAAGTTTGAATGAACACATTTCCATGTGTTCTTGTTAAACCAAGTGATAAGAGTTGGTTTTGGCAACAGTTAGTGCATGTTCACTCCTTCAAATATTTAGTTAATGAAGGTACTTGTAAACACTTCAAACCCAGTTTATATTTACCAGAGTATGCCAATCACCTGTATTTAGAAAAACAGTGGGATGAACTCTATTTCCATGGACAGTAGTCGCCTCAGTGAAGAAACTGGCTTCTTTATCCGGCTTAACCAGGATACGGCAAACAATCACAACAAGCAATGGAATGGGAGTTACTGCTTTGAGACTCGGGTTTAATATACAGTTGTGTGAAAAAGTGTTTGCCCCTTCCTGATTTCTTATTTTTTTGCATGTTTGTCACACTTAAATGTTTCAGATCATCAAACAAATTTAAATATTAGACAAAGATAACACAAGTAAACACAAAATGCAGTTTTTAAATGAAGGTTTTTATTATTAA